GGGGGGGAATAAAAGAGACAAGCCTATGACTTTATATGAGAAAGTTAAGAACATGAAGCACTGCTCCCAGGGAAGACGCTCAGCACCTGTTAGAGGCTGCAGGTGGCAGAAGGCTCCCGCACAGCCCGACGGCACGTACCTGCTCCTGCGCTTTCCTGGACAGCGGCGCATAGTCCTGCTGCAGCGTGGCCATGGTGAAGTAGGTGGTGGACAGCTCCCAGTTCACCGAGTCCCAGACGGCAGGGTGTCTGTCTCGTGTTCCCAGGGACCTCAGCGCTTTCAGGTAGTAGTCCACGGCCTGGGCGGAGGAAATCGAGTCAACGGGCCCCTCTTCCCAGTCCCGGGTGGTGACTGGCTTTGGGGAGGACGTGTGGAAGGACCGTATTGGGGAGGAAGGCAGCGCTGTGAACATGCCTCACTGAGGAAATTTATGCAGCTCTGAAGTACAGGCTCCCCTGGACTGGGAAGCAGAGCGCTCCCGTGAAACCCCTGGTAAGCCGAATGGCGTAACAACAAGACGCAATTACCATTAATACAGGAAATTTTTGAGGGTTGCCAGACCTAACATTGAGTGCACATGCATTTGTATTCCGTTCACCATGATCAAAGCGCTTCATTCCGCACGGGTTACGTTAAGGGTCACACCCTGAGCTCTCCTAGGCTTTTCTGACTCTCAGGACACAGCTCACTCAGGGACGCACAGTCAGCAGAGATGAGCTGACGCTGAGTGTGGTTCCGGGAGGGGCCTAGCTGGGAGGGTGCTCGGGCTTGGGGCGCACACCGCCTCAGGAACAGCTCCCTGAAAAGCAAAGGCTGAATGCTTTCTTCACTTCTCCCCTTCGTTCTAGAAGCAGGAGTCCTCTTCAGGTTTCTCCTGGCAGTGAAAGCGGGCTCCCATGTAGGTCTTTTGTAAACAAGGGGGGCTCCCTGTACTCGGTTAAACGTGTGCTTGCTTTGGCGCCTTCTCCAGCACTGGGTGTGACCACTTGCCAAAAAGTACTCGATAATTTAATCAGTAAAAGAAACTCAAATTTTAAATCCCTTAAAAGTTAAAATTTTGGAATTTTGCTTCCATATTAAACATTTACTTTTTCTACACATACGAATTTCTTGTTCAAGTTCGTTTGTCCTCCCTTCTATGGGGACAGTGTGTTTTCAATGATTCCTAACTGCTATACACCAAGAGTTTATTAACCTTGGATCTGTCCTGTGCTATAGATATTTCTCCTAGATGGTGGTTTGCTTTTCAATTTTGCTTTCTGTTGTGTCCTTTAAAAACTGTATTTTTGCACATTTAAGTTGATCCATCTTTTACTTTGTGATTTCTGCTCTTTACGCTGGGAAAGTCCTTGCCCAGCCATGAGCTGATTCCCCTGGTACCTTTACAGTTTCACCTGTTCATTTCCATCTTTAACCCACCTGACGTTTACTCTGGTTATGCCAACACACTTCACCGAAGATCACCTTTTAGCACCAAGCCAGTGTCATCTCCAGTCCTGAGTGCCCAGTACACTCAGGCCTGAGTCTCCCAATGGTCTGTCTAGTCCTGTGCCAGCCCACGGTTTTCATTACTTTGGTTTTATGGTATTTTAGTGGAGCAATGGCAAAGGTAAGTGGCAGTTAGGAATGAATGGATGAACCCATGAGCAAATGTGTTACCTTGTTATAATACAAGCCTTCCTCTGGTGAAAATTCACGTTTAAATTCGTCCCCTGCGCCACAGTGCGCCTGTGCACAAATCCGCATGAGCCTTCCCGTGTTACATAACAAGAGGGCAGCATTTGTAGCATCATCAATTGACTCGAAGTTGTGAATTCCTTTCTCAAAGCAAGAAAAGCTCTTTTTCCACAATTGTTGCTCTGCGGTCGACACACTTTTGCTCACTTGATGAAAAAACAAAAACCTGTGTAAGCAGGCACCCGAGGAAGCCCGCTGGGTCTCCTGATGGATCCTGAGGACGGGGCAGGTCCAGCAGCGCCCACCCTCCCCACACCTGCCATGGCCGACTGGGCACTCCCCTCACCCTCACCTCCATGCTGAGCGTGACTGTGTTTGGAGAGAGGGCCTCTACAGAGGTACTTAAGGTTAAAGGAGGTTATAATGTGGGGCCCGAACCCAACATGACTGGTGCTGTTATGAGAGACACCAGGGACACCCACAGAGAAAAGACACAGCAAAAAGGTGGCCGAGGACAGAGCCTCAGAGAAAGCCAACCTGGCTGGCACCTTGGTCCTGGCCCTCCGCTTCCAGGGTGAGAGAGATCAGTGGTCTAGGCCACCCGCCGGGGCTGTTATGGCAACCATGCACACTCAAACGCAGCCCCCTCAGTAGCAGCTGGCTGGTGCCACAGCAGCAAATAAAGCCCTCTGGCACAGCACTGCCTCATGAAGACTGAGTTTAAGAGCACAGTCTGTGCTCCCTAATTTCCTAGGGTTCTGACTTTCCCTTTCCATGCTCCTTCACTGACTTACAAAGCACAGGTTCTTGAATCTCAATAAATATATAACATATAGTAAAAAAGACTTTTTTTTTAAAGCACAGTTCCCCCTCTAGCTATAAACTCTTTGTCCCTAACGTCGAGCATGGTTTATAGGTCAAAAAGCACACAACTTATTCGCCTTCTATCTCAGCCCTCTCCCCGCCTAGGAACTGCGCATCCTGCCCCCTTCTAAACACCCACCGACCCTACAATCCTGGCTTCTTCCCAGGGCTGCCTCTCAGCCTGGACAGCCCTCCCTTCCCCACACCTGCCTGCTGACGTCCTACGTGACATGTACCCATCTGCTCAGACCTCACCAAAGCCTTCCCAGTCACCGCAACTTCCACATACGCCTCCCTCCCATCGCAATGCGCCTGCAGCACTTATGGCAGCGCACAGAGAGGCACGTTCCCATCGGCCTCCTCGCCTCAGAGAGAGACCCTGCAGCCACCACGTACAGCACCAGGCCTGGCCCAGCTCCAGGACTTAAAATCAAGTGCCACAGTTCCTTGCTTGAGCCAAGATCCATGTGACTTTCTGATAGAAAAGGCAATGAAGAGAGGACTCCAAGGGATACTCACCCACTCGCTCACTCTGTAACGCAGCAGCCTGGTTCATATAAAACACCCCGATTTCATTCCTAATGTTGCCCATTCTCTTCAGCACTTGCACGTAGTGTTCTGGATTTTGGCTTTTTAAGTCACTAAACTGCAGGATTTCATTGGCAGCCTCATAACATTTACAACTAACAGAAAGTTGACTTTCCAAGTCTGTAGACAAATCAGTCGCCCACGCAAATCCTTAAAAGAAAGGAAATGTCACCACTGTGATTATGCAAATCCTACTTCCTTAGTATCCAAGTAATCTGACACTTTTAAGGTAATAAAGTAAGTAATTGCAATACAGTATAAATATACTAAGATTCAACCAACAAAACTAAACATTTAAGCTTCGAAGCAAAGATCTCTTTATTTAAGAAACTATTATCTTCTTGGGACATTAATGTTTGATTAAAAGAAATATTTTCCTGCCTAGAAATACCAGCCAACTGCCGTGCCCCAGCTTCCACCAGGTGCGCCTGCCCACCGGTGAGGGCCTGACGCTGTCGCTGACACGGGGAACCACCTTGCTCTTTCATGAATGGGAGCAGCTCCTGCAGGAAAGCTCTGCAGCTACCAGGGGCTCATGGACTATAACGCTTGCCTATCAATGTCAGACTCACTGAAGAAGCTGCTGGATGGGCCCTCAGACTCAAGCTCGCCACCCAGTGGGGATGGGAGTAAACTTGGGTGCAGAGCCCCAAATTCAAGGGGAAAAAGGGTAGCACTCCTGATGCCACCCAAATGCTTGAGAGAATGTCGTTCTCACAACGACGTATTATAAGTCCAATGAAAAACACACTGAGGCCTTTCTCACGTATCTAGTAGAATAAAATGAGGGGCCTGCTGCTGTGGGCTACGTTTTCCTGTCTCCAGCTTAAAAATCGGACAACTCCAAACAGAGTGACATATTTAGTGAGACTACCAACCCTGAACTAAGTTTAAAAATGATCTCAGTGTCTGAGCCCCAGGAATTATTCAGAAGGTAATCCATCTACTTCTACCAATGCTATTGCTTTTCTAAAGAAATCACGGCCTGGTCAGCTGACTACAGTTTTATTGAAAAACCTCCTGAGAAGACAAGTGCAGAAAGTCAACGCAATTGTCTGAGAGCTTGTTTATAGTTAGTTCTAGTTGTATAAGCAGCAATTATAAAATACTTCAAAAGCATTTTACACACACACACACACACACACACACACACACGAGCATGCTCTACATTAAAACTGAGAAATAAGGACACAGAGCAGCATCAAGCACCAACACGCCTGCCCCTTTTCCCACAGTCCCCGTGCAGGAACTCGGGGTCCCGCCGCCCACCTTGACAACTGGACTCCCGGTGGAGGCTGTGCAGTATCTCCTGGTCCTCCTTCGTCTGGTAGTTAAACTCCTCCAGGTGAGCCGCCCGGTTGTTGGCGTTCTGCGCCAGCATCAGCTGGATGTCGCCGCAGAGCGTCAGGTACTGGGAGAGGAACAGCAGCACTTCGGAGAGCATGTTGGTGCAGAGGCAGCAGTAAGTGTCTGTGGGGAGAGAGGGAAGGAGGAAAAGTGCATCATGAACACAGTAAGTGTTAAGAAAATCTGCTACCAGCCGTATCCACTCTAAGTTTATTTTATATCAGAGAGCAAACATGGCTTCATGTATTTCAAAATAAAGATGTCATTAAACTACTCGGAGCAGAAAATACTAAGTGACACCCAAGATGCAAAAGGTGGTTTTAAAATTAAATTTTACAACAGAAGTAGGAGTAAAATTTTACTGACACAGATGTCTTCTGTTCCCCTCCCAAAGCCTGTGACACGCTCATTCGCAGGGACTCACCGTGGCTCTGCAGAGCCAATTTGATGTATCGGAGCGCGCGTCCATATTTCTGCAGACTCATGGCGGCGTCAGACAACACGTAATAGGCTTTGGATGACTTGAGGATCAGCTGGAGCTTCATTTTATGTTGCCAGGAGCCAGGGGTCATCCCGGACTGGCTGGAGCAATTGCCCTTCTGCAGGGAGCCCACTAGGACACGGGGAGAGGCAGCACGTTTCATGTTCACGTGGGGCACCATGAGCAAGTAGTTTCTGCTTCTTAATAGAAGCACTCACTCCAGGCTCAGGCGCTATTGTTGTGACAAGACTGGTAAACACCAGGCGTCAAGGAACCACATGGAGGGAAACTGTTTCCACAGACGCTCTGCGTTTCCCGGGCCTCCGCCTCCCAGCAGCAGCGGCCGTCCCTCTCTTTCAGGGTCACTGACGTCACTCCACTCACCACCGACACCCGCCTCCTGCCTCCAGTCTGCCCGTGAGTCTGCCAGAAAGCTTACCTTCCGAAAGCCGGCTTTAATCACGGCGGAGCCCTGCTCCGAAGCGCTGAAACAGCCTCTCACTACTTACTAAGTGGTGATAAGCATCTCAGCCCACTTCCTGAGCTACCTTTTCTCAGTCTCACTTCCCAGCCCTCCTCCCCATTATCCATCCATCAGTCACAGCCAGGTGACTGCTCGCTGCCCACCTCCGTCCACTGGACCGCTTCCTGTAGCAGAACAGCCTTCACTTCAAGTCCAGCCTATTACACCTTCTTCACCCAACAAATGATCACACTGCCACGCACTATGCCAGGCACCAGAAACGACATGAGGTGACGTGCCTCTCTCCTAGGCTGATCCATAGACCGCCTCAGGGGACACGTGCAGGCTCACACAGAACAAACTGCTGTGGGGACCAGCCTCCCCCATCGCCCAGCCTCAAGGTTTCTCATTTTGATCAGATACAACACGTGTCTTTCAAAGCGATGAACAGTCTCTACTGTGGTCTTACTCGTGCATGTATGTCTTTTCCCTACTCCACACACATAGTCTGTGTGAGGCATGTGAGAACCGAAGCTGACTAAGGTGTCTGTGCAAGCACAGCTGACGGCGGGGGAAGGCAGGCCTAGTGGCAGGGGACCCAGTCCTTCCGCTGGCCACAGAGGGGAGCATGGAGACCCTGACCAGGAGCTGGGTTTTCAACAGCTGAGAGGGGGAGGGAGGGAGGAAGAGACAGAAAGGCATTTCAGAAAAAGCACCATGAAAAGGCACAGTGTCTACGTCCTGGGCGGTTCTCATCGTGTCTGGGTTCGAGCCTGGCACCCAGAAGTGCTACATAAATGCTGGGGAGACTACCGTCCCCCCCCTTTATGCTCATGAAGAGAAGATCCCAAAGCACTGGGTATTATTGCCCACTCACAGATTTTCAAAACATTTTTAAACTGAAACAGAATTTTAAAGGGGGAGGAGATAAGGTTGGAAATTAATGTAATTTAGATTAAAATAAACCAGAAACTCAGACTTTTACTTCAAAACCCACATGTTCTTCAGGAAGTGATGCTCCCAGAATGAGTGAGATGACCTTCTCAGTGACAGCTCTGGCCTATCAGGTACTGCCCCGAGGCAACAGCGGCGAGGAGCGGGGCAGGGCTTACCAGCGCACTGTCCCAACCCTCTGAAGTAGGCACTACTGTTGTCTTCACTTGGAGTGAGCCTAGCAGAGCTGCATGCGAGCCAGGGCTGGGCCCGGCTGCTCTGAAACCCCTGCGGCTCTCGCTGAGGCAGGGGTGTCTCAGAAGCACCCGAGGTTCTCACTAGAGACACCCGTGAAGGATCAAAGCGATCTGCTGTTCTGCTTTGAAGGACCGGACATTTCCCCTCCTTTCCACTCACATGTTCTCCTCCTGGTCCGGCAATGAATGCCTCACTGACACAAACAAGTCGGCTGCTGGCAAAGGACTAGCATCTTGTTCTACGGAAAAGGCCTTATTTGCACATCAATTCAACTTACTTTTGTCCAAAAACAAGGCCATCTGCTTCTCCAGACCCTCAGGACCTCCCCTTGCGGATTCATCTTCATATTTCAACGGGATTGGGGTGCTGGGGTCAGCGGCAGGGAGGTCGCTTTCTTTCTTAATGCTGCTGTCCACAGATTTTAAACCCTTTAAAGCAAGGAGACACAGTTACTGTGCCTGTAACTGAAGCTCAACTAGAAACTAAATATAAGGCAGGATCTGGACTACTGAGTGCATTTAGGAGAATTTATATTTTAAAAACTACATTTGACATGAAAGAGTTGGAAAAAGCTAATTTTCACTTTATGCTTCAGAGAGAGAAAACCCACAGCAGGAAATCCTTCAGACACCAACCAACTCACCTCCAGAACATAGCTCAGCACAAGTCTGCAGCGTTCTTCGGTGTCATGGCAAACTGGAAACGCACAACTGGGCTTCAGAAACAAACATTTAAAATTATTACTATGCGACCAGTGTGACAAATTCCACACCTCTCAGTTCCTGGGAATTACTAAACCTCTAGAAATCAGTAATTTCAAAATGTGCTTGTGTACTCAGCTTAGTGAGGTATTAAGGTTAATGTAGTGTTTTAATTGCAGATTCAACTGATACAATAAGCATCATCAACACAAATCCTGCATAACAAAAAGATCTTCCGGCATACGTGTTGCTTTAAGTACTTATGTTAAAAATTATTCTACTCAACAAAAAAGTGAACGTGAGTAGTAATGTTTTAGATAAATGTACACCTAATCTCCTAGATCAGCTCAACTTCTAATCAGCACGGACACTGGGTAGCACAGCTACCACCATCAACTGAGCAGCAAGTTCAGCGTCACCAGTGGTCTCACTGTATCCCTGATGCTCCCTAGGGGCAAGCCCAGGGAACAGGCCCCACCCACTGAGTGGGAGGGCCTCTGCAGGGCACTTCCTTTTGGCGAATCCCCAGAGGGTGGGTAACGCTGACTGGACTGTAGAGAAGCGAGCCCATGTGAGCGGTCTGTCCAAGAGCACAGAGTCCGTGTTGGGGCCGGGGCTCTGGACGATGCTCCATTTCAAAAAGGACACAGAGCCCTGGCTGGTCTTGCTCAGTGATTAGAGCGTCGGCCCACCAACTGAAGGATCATGGGTTTGATTCCAGTCAAGCGAATGTGCTCGGTTCAGGCTCGGTCCCCGGCCAGGTGGTCAGGATGCATGTGGGAGGCAACCAATCGCTATGTCTCTCACATCAACATTTCTCCCTCCCCCTCCTTCCCTCTATTCCACTTTCTCTAAACATCAATGGGAAAAATATCCTCAGGTGAGGGTTCACAGAGGGGACACTGAGAAGGCCAAGCCAAGCAGAGACGTTGATGTGAATATTGACGACATTTTTGGAGTGCTTCAGAGAAGGACAGAAAGTGTTCCCCTGTGAACAACTGTACACTACACATCACTCCGTCTTTATCATCTAACTGCTTCATGAGCCGAGGTCTTGGTTACAATGCAGCAACGCCATCCTCTGAGAGGCTGACTGTGCGCACTCACCCACTGTTGTTTTTCCCCTGGTGCCACTTCAATACACACTGAAACGTGCTTACTCTGATCTGATGGATGGATTTGTACTTCTCTGGAACTGACAGTTCTCCAACAGACTTGATGATGGCCACTGCTTTGTTGTCGTCGGGAGGGTCGGAGCTGGTGCAATAGGACCCATTTTCATCGCTGTCTGGCATCTCTTCCTCCTCCTCACTGTAACTTTCATCAGAATTCTCATTTAAGGGAGACTCTGCACTTTCTTCTTTTTTAGGTTCATCCAATTGAAAGAGTTCTGAAAGCATGTAATTGGCTGAAGCAATAATCTGATAAAAAGAAAGAAAAGGTGTGACTGTCATCAACCTGAGCACTCCCAGGTGGAAGGAGCTTCACTGTGAGCGAGCCTCCAGGAGCTCCGCACGCAGGCTGCCCCCAGCACAGACCGGGCAGAGAGGCCCCGCCTGTCACCAACAGGTGGAAGGAGCTTCACTGTGAGCGAGCCTCCAGGAGCTCCGCACGCAGGCTGCCCCCAGCACAGACCGGGCAGAGAGGCCCCGCCTGTCACCAACACCCTGAAGGCTCTGAAATTCTCCTGGGTTGTGTGTTTACTTCCTAAAAACTACCCGCAAACAATGTATTAAAAAAGGTGGCAACTGTACTTCACTGGAGACGTAAGTCTGCAGGTATAGTGTCGTAACTACATTAGCAAGTATCCTCCCCATCAACTGAGAAACAAGAATTTCTCTTCATAAGCTATAAATTACATAGGCAATAGTATTTACTATGTAATCTATGGCCCCGGGGGAAACCCCCCACTAGCTTAATGAGGGAAAAGTCCACTGTGGTATCTCTTAAATTGGGCATGTATATATTACTATTTATCCCACTCTATTATTTATTATTAAGTGGTTCTAATAACATTTAATAGTTGCAACACCATTTTCTAACTGTCACATAAACTAATCAATATCCATCAAACACCACCCCTTCAACCAGCAATTAAATATTTAAGTGAGAAACGGTTTTGCCATTTTTCTGCAAAAAAAAAAGTTTTCTCTTGGTTTGGTCTCTAGAATAATCTTTATCTCTAAACTGGATGTGACTACAATAAATATTGGAGCTTTAAAAAAAATGGTACAGACTACAGACCTTCTTGATTTAAACAGGCTTCAACTAACCTTACACCAAAGATACAGACAACTGAGGGCATGGGGGTGTAAAATGGGGGGCCCATGGCTGAGAGATCATTCTAAGAGATGCTTTTATTATACACTGATGTATGGACTGTGACCCTTACCCACACTAACAGTGATTAACAAGATCCGTCTGTGTAAACAGATCGTAGAGACCGTAAAAGAGGTTTCCCCTTCCAGGAGTGACAGAGCGAGGGAAAACGCACTACACACGAGTCCTCCCTTTACAGACAGTGCTAGCCAGGAGGAGTGCAACATGAGCACACATCACATGGCAAACGTTCTAGCAGCCATGTTCACAACCTGGCTGGCTTAATTTTAATATTATCTTTGATTCAATTAACACATAATGTGTGCACACACGATCCTAAAATCCAGGGTGTACTTTACGCTGAAAGCACACTTAACTCAAAGCGGGCAGCTTTTCAGTGCTCAGCAGCCACATGGGGCTCCAACACCCTCCCCAGCACCCCTCCCACCCCCGCGGCCCCATCCCCCGACACAGAGAGGCAGTTACACACTAATGCCAGTGGCTTCAGTGCCAGGCACACCCGTCAGACCGCTAGGCTGTTCTCACAAAGCACACAGGTGTCACTCTTACTTGAGGGTGTCTGCTTTTGTCCAACAATTTAACACAGTTGAGAAGCAGCGTTCTGATAGTTCCGTAGTGTTTCTTATTTTGGTTCTTCTTCATCATCATGTTGCAGGCAACCCTAAAAAAACATTTGTATCACCTTGACGCCCACTCATCATTCTCTGCAAGGTTCAGGTGTAGGCTGCCCCCTTTCCTCCCACAGAAACAACCAAAGTTACCCTCCCCGCAAGTTTTTTTTTGGTGTGACTGTGTGTGTGTGTGTGTGTGTGTGTGTAAATATAAATACTTGGCTCGGGGATGTGGCTGTGCACTTTACAATTTTACAAAAGGCTACTCTCCCTTGTTTTCACTGGCGACAGCACTCACTTGTATAAGAGAATAGCCACCGGCATTGTGAACGGGTTTTGGTATTTGTCTTCAGTTTCTTCACAAAGAGTCGTGAGATCATAGAGCTTCACTATGTCACTGCCACTCGCTGCAAAAACAAACAAAGGAACCTCATTTTCCAGGAGCCACTCAAATCCATTGGATTATCATTCGTTCAGGAATTCGCTCACCTTTAAAGAGCCAATAGGTATGTCCTTCTTTGGTGCAATTAGATTTCAGAAAGGATAAAATATTCTGTGCAATGTCTTTTATGACTTTAGTAGAAAAATTAGAGTTTTCCAAATTGGGAATCTCTTCTGTCTTTATCATTTCATACTTCTAAAAAACAGAGAGAGGGCGGTTTAAGAGAAACCTCGGTAGCAACACTTCTCTTCCTGAAAAGCGAGCACATGTATAAGCCCTGCAATCAGAGACCTGTGCAGCCTGACCGAGATGTAACCAACGGTTTTCCATCTTTTTGTGGCTCCCAGAGGAATCTGACCCACCGATCAGCATCGCTGTTCATGTACCACAGCAGTCATTCTCAAGGGAGAGCCATCACCCAACTGTGAACCACAAATGTAGGCATGATCTCATTTCTGTCCTCACCTGGAACAAACCTCCTGGCACCATTTATTTCCTCTATCTACCCCGACGGCTCTCAACTGGGAAGAGGGTTACTGGAAGCAGACTTCACCCCTAGACACTAGAAGCACCTGGGAAGTTTCTCCAGGAAATACCACCCTTTCCTTGAACAGGACTCGGATCCTTTACAGAAATGGAGCCTGGGGTTGGGGTGGGGTTGGGTTGGGGGCGGGGGGGGCAGCAATGTGTAAAGGCGCACGGACAGCACCACCACTGCTCTGAAAGCACCTCCGCATTTTGTCCCCAGCTTGCCTTCTGGTCACACTTCCCTAAACTCCTCTGCCCACGTTTCTGAAATACTTCAAGACTAAGGACTCCAAACCAACTGGGAACCTGGACCCCAGTCCTAAGGGTGGTGCTCGTCCCTGGCTCAGCTAACGCACTCCTGGTTTTTACGGAGCTTCTGGCCCGCCTTCCCTCGGCCTGAAAGCCCTCCCTTTCCGCTGCCTGGGAGAGGTTCCTATGTTCTCGTTTAATGCAGTTCCTTGGGGAGGAGCTCAACAGGATCTGGGCAGAAGGCTCCTCACTTCTGTCTCTAGTCCCCTCTTCTCTAATGCCTGCAACTTCAACATGCTCAGTGGGCATTTTAATGTTTTCCCCAAACTGCCCAACGATAACACATCACCTTCCCCACCTGAACAGATTCCACCTTCCCACCTCAGGCAATACCACCAGGATTCTGTCCCTGAGCACCCGAGCCCGGATTCCCTTCCCCTCCTCCTCTCCCCGCTCTCATTCAAGCTGCCATGTGGGGGACGGTGCAAATGGAATCATCTACAAAGCCCCCTCCATCCCGGAAACACTGGCTCAAGCAAGTGGATTGTTGGAGAGCACAGGGTTCCTGCTGCAGCTGAAGGTGAGGAGTCGCTGGGCTGCAGCACAATGGCTAAGAGCAGGGCCACCGGCAGAGACAGGCGCCAATACTGGCACCACCACTCACTAGCGATGTGGCTCTGCGTCACTCACTTGAGCTCCGTGACTCTCAAGTCTCCCTCTCCATCCAAAGGGACACTAGCATACGGGCAGCTAAGAGCTGACATGAGCACCAATAAGACAATGCCTGCAACGCACTTAGCAAAGTGCTTGGGACAAAGAGCACTCAATAAACGCAAGCCATTATGACTGCTGTCAATTCTCAGTACTTACTAAGTAGGAGGGCATGACGTAGTAGGAGGACATTACGTCACTCCTAACAGTAGTGATTGCCTAGCCCGTCTTTGTCTCCAAACCCTCCCAGGCTGTCCTACACACCATCCCCAGATTAATCTTCCAGCACATGAATTTCATACCCCAGATGCAGAGCGTCCACCAATTCCAGGTTCCCAACTGAACCAAGTCCACACTCAGCTCAGCATCAAGGCCCGGGATGTGGCTGACCTTCCCAACCATTCTGCTACAGAAGGCTTGCTCCCTAACTGGACGGATTACCAATACCCCATTTACTAACACTCGTCTTTTAAGATCCATCTGGCATTTTTGGGGACGCTATCTCTCATTCAAGATCCAGTTAAGATGCCACTTCCAGGAAGTCTGTTTTTCAGATCAAAAGAGAAATGACCTCACCCTCTCCAAACATCAGACTTCTGTGTGTGCATCACTCCAGCGCTTACCCTGCGTCTCCTGCTTCCTCTTTGCACTTCACTTCCCATTGATCCTCTTTCTGAGCCATGACCACACTCTATTTTCTCCCCCAACATTTACAATGGGGACAAAGTGCCTCCTCACAGAGCATGCTCAACAACAATGTGCTATATAAGCGATCTACTACTGTGGCCTTTCCTTAAAACTGCATATACTGAGTAGATAACTGAGTACTGAATAAATACCTCCACTGTATAGACACTGTAACTATCATAGGTGCCTGGCATTAAAATTATAGTTCTATGGCTACAGTGCAGATTCAGTGTATTTATAACCTTCTCACAAATTACCTGTAAAATTATCCTCCTGTGATATCTAGAATTCTACCAACAACTCAAATGTGAAAATAATCGAATTTCAGTTTATTCACGGGTACGTTCCTTGCCAAAAAGTACACCTGGGATTTTCAGGGCCTTAAGAACTTTGGTGAGGCATTATTCTCTGCACCAATTTGCTCTTGAGAGGTTATGAGAAGACGCGCTGTGTCTTACCTGTACAATCCCGTTTACATGGAAACACATCACAAGCTCTGGTACATTACATATCAAGTTGTCCAGCCAATAGTCAATTCCAGTGAGCACATTGATTGGTTTGTTGTTATCCCTAAAAATATAACATTTCTGGTGTTATTTGGTTTAATTAAGATGTTTCACAATGAATCACCTGAGACTTATTTCTCCCATTTAACTATTTTAATCTGTGCTCCCTACGTGGGAAATGCCATATAAGCTCTTTGCTGATGAAATATGCACACGTAGCTGTTCTATTTAAATCTTTGCATAAGCTCTGCTTGCTCCTCTAACTGGAACCCATAAGAGTTTTCAGTAGGAACAAAAGGAAAGATGGTAGCAGGTGACTGTGGGCCCATTGCACGCTCCTCCAACAACCTGCGGTGAAGACTGCCCACCATGCACGCCGCCACCCAAGTCGGAACGCGCACTGGCTAATGTGAGCACACACACCTGGAGCATTAACAGGACGATGGAAAGCCACCTCCTGCACCGTAAATAAATTCTACCACAGACGTAAGATGAGGCCAGTACAAGACCTCTGAGTCCATTCATCAAGGACCAGGGCGACCAGCTCCAGGGCACCCAGCATTCCCTGAGAACAGCTCCTGCTTGGTTGTGCATTTTAATTCTAGCAGGAGGGGGAGGGATGCCCAGATCGATGGTGCGAGCAGATGGACAGAGGTTTTAAGGAAAACGAGCGTGGTTTACCTGAGACGTAAGCTGACTGCTGGGTATCTGCCTCCTCCAAATATAGGCATGTTGGAGCCAACCAACATATGTATATCTTCAAACGTCCACAGAATATTCCGAACAAAATCATTCTTAAGACCCTTTGATTTAAAATAAAATTGGAAAGGTGATTATATAATAAACAGGAGAACTGTAATTTCCCCCCACGATCCATAGAAAGACTAGAACAAAGAAAGGACAAAGGAGTCGAAGTGAACATGACAGAGCTGTAAGGTCAGAGCTGTTTAGAAATGGACTTTCAGGATCAAGTAGATTTCCCCCCTGTGAATTCCAACGGAGACTAGTTTTTAATGACTAGTAGGCTGGGGCTGGGCGTCTCCACGCGGACACCTGGGAAGCATACCTGACTGTTCTCCCCGTCATTGAATAAAGTAGTCAGGTTTTGTTCTTTGGGGGCTGAGGCCAGATGCCCCACTATGTATGAGGGTTCGAGAGGCTCACTTCCCTGTGAAAAGTGCAAGGACAGGAGTGATTCTGCTGCCAGAGTTCTTATCAACGGCCTACTGTTAGAGTATCACCTAAGCATTCAAAGCAGACACCTCAAAGCTACTGCTGTCATCAGGCTAAGACATAGTCCCACCTCTCGTCACTGGTGGCTTCCGGCAGCTCTTAGCTATCCCAGCCACTGCAGCGAGCCAATCACATACAGCTCGCACTCAGAAAAGATCGAAGATTACTTTAGCGTTCAAAGTTTTAAATTTTTCTCTTTTTGGGGTAAATTTCAATTCCATTAACCTTTAGCCACCCCATCTCCATGCAATTAAAACATTCCTGAGAAACTCCAGCCCTATTTTTGAGACACTCGTCATGATGACAGCCTCTAGTTTTGCATTTGTAATGTGTTTCACAGACCACTAGTCCTGGGTTACTTGGTAGAAATTTCCAGAGTGAGTGGTGACAAAGGCTACTCGCTGTAGACTTGCGTCTGGAGAGTAACAATGCTCATGAGCATGGAAAAGCCTCTAAGACAGTGGTTCTCAACCTTTTGGCCCTTTAAATACAGTTCCTCATGTTGTGACCCAACCATAAAATTATTTTCATTGCTACTTCATAACTGTAATGTTGCTACTGTTATGAATCATAATGTAAATATCTGATAGGCAGGATGGTCTTAGGCGACCCCTAAGGGTCAATCGACCGCCAAAGGGTTCGCGACCCACAGGTTGAGAACCGCTGCTCTAAGAGGTTCTGTAGTAGAAAATGGACTTCCCCTGTGTGACCAATGTTCTCAGACTGAGTTAATCTCAGGACACTTTTAAGTCTTAATACATCCTGTGGACTGTACTTTCAAAAACCCTTTAGAAAGCAGAACTTTTGACAGTGGTAAACTCAGCCCACCAGTCAGTTTCCCAATCATTAGGCAGCTGCCATTAAGACACATTACGTTAAACCGAATGTCAATGCCACAATAGTCCCCAAGATGGGGATGCTTCTGTGCGCGCACACCGTAGTCCGTGAACTTTCACTTCTCACCCTAGGTGGATGCTAATAGGCTTAGCACCTGCCTGCAAAGAAGTGCACATGACTGTACGCACAGGTTGTGTGTGTGTGGGTGGGTGCGCATGCATCAATCTCCAGCACTTTTGCCGTGTCCTTAAAGAATACTATAGAGCTTCAAACTTTATTTTTTATTTACACAGACAAGTTATTTACCTGTGGACCAACTCCCAAAATCGTATTTGCCAGGTAGTTGCTTTAATGAGAGTTTGGGCTCTAGGTTATGATGTTCCAAATAAAGATCTGGCTCTCAGGCCATTACAAAGATACCTATTTCACCTATTTCAACTCTAATATTGCTTAACCCAGGCCTCAAACTAGTGGTTTAAGTTTGGGGAATAAGAATTCATAAGGTGGTGGCTTGCAGACAAAAATAAAACTCCAAATGCTGAAATTTAGGCTGTATAATATGTTCTAAAAATATTCTGTGAAAGATTATTTTTATGGCAGGAGAGCTCTTCCCGGCACATGGCATTGCTTTGAGGCCATCCTGAACACGTGTGGAACATGTGGACACAGTGGAGTACGGCTCGAGAACAGGCCTCTGAAGCCACAAGGATCTGAACACTAGCTTGGACTTCACCAGCCATGCGACCAGGGACAGACATCTGCTCTTTATGAGCTTTAGTTTACTTGTAAAATGACACCATCAACACTGAACACATACCATAACACGTGTGCAGTACTTTATACCCATGGCGTAAAGTGCAGAGCATAAGAGGCACTAACTAGATGCCAGTTCACTTCCTCCACATGCAAGTCTACAGCTTCTCAACAGCCTTCAAGGCCTTTCATAGGGAGCCCTACACAAGGTAAGGACAGAATGGGAAGGGGAGGTGGGTGAAGGGAGACTGGTATTTCTACTGTGTCTTTTTATGTGTGGGTTTTGAAGTCAAGGAATATAAAAAGAATTTTTAAAAACTCCTTTGGTGAACTATAATCATATACATGAAAGTGTATAAAACAAATACAACATAATGGCTAACTACAAAGCAAATTAATAGATCCTGTGTTCATACCAGTGTAACCAGTCCCCGCGGCCTGACCTGGGCCTTGCGTATGCCCGGCCCCGTGCCCTTTTCACCCACACCACACCCCCTCCTGCTGGTTCCCACTGTCACCTCACAAGGTAATTCCTCTCTTTTCCTCAGTTTTTCCCAACTTGGGAGAAATTTGAATTCATTACATAGTTTAATAAGGTTTTTCCATCTTAAAACCTACAAAAACTAAAATCAAGTTAAACATATTTGCCTCCTTGTAATCCTATAATTTGTAAAGATAGCAACAATCTGGGTGAATAATTTTTAATATGTGAGAACACAGAGCAAGAGGAAAAATAATTTACCAAGTTTAAAATCCTATTTTTATCTCAAGTTTATCAATAGGTTTACCTGAAAACAGACATATACAATTCACACTTGTGGAGTTCTTTTTTACTTTGATAGAAACAATGACAAAACTAAACAAGCAATAAGAAGAAACCAAGAATATAAGAGACCAAAAGAGACAATGCATTCTACTCTCTCTTCCTTTCTAAAAGCTTCATAACATTATTGTGGGTTAAAACCTCAGGAACCTCATCCAGAAAATCTTAAGGGTGATTTTAGCCCTAAAAATCAGACTAAAAGTTAAGGTCAGTATTTAAATTACAACCAAGTCTCTGAGTCGATATTTGATAGGCACTTGCTTTACACCTAAAGTTTAAAATATACTACATCACTATATTTATTATACGTTATAATACTCTTATGACTTTAAGGAGATAATCAGCATTGATAAACATATTGGTGAGCTACCTTAAATGCTGAGAACATTTTTTAAATATTTTAAATTTTAAACTTAAAAAATCTGATCTAGCCATTCATACTCTTGCAAATTCTTAAAAAAAAACAACTAAAAAAAGTATGTTTTTATAATTGTGAGACATAAATTGGTAGAATATTTTGTATTCCTGTTCATCTATTTTTACTGGCAAGATAATTGGTTTCATCTTCTTAAATGAGTTTGCTGAGTGAGCCTCGGAGTACTAACTCACCTGACTGGAAAGCACTGGGGATCTTCGGAAAACTGGAGAAGGCATTTCGAAGGGGGCGGGCCACGACGCCCCGTCCGAGTCACCTGTCTGGTCTGAACTGGATGATTCCCGCTGCTCTGCAGCAGATGGGACGGGCTGCGCGGCTCCATCGCCATTGATACTGGCCAAATCAGAAATAGAAAAATATCACACTGTCACTAGGGGTCAGCTCATGCAAGTCTACTACTTTTTAAAACCAGACTCTATAACCAAGCATAAATCTTACTTTTAAAGAAAAGAAATATAAGACATTGAAATGTAAACAATACCATAGTGGCAAACCTTAAATTATTATTTTTCCTGGCTTCAAATTAAATTTTAGATCAGAATTTAATTCTTCCTCTTTAAGATAAAATAAACAAATAGCCAAGTACCTGTAATATAAAAACTTGGAAAGAATAGCCTTTTGATACCAATGCTCTTTGCTCTTTTTCTTCCTCTGCCACTTCTGATCAATAAGTCTCTGATAAAACTCTTTCAGCCACGTCCAATCACCAGTCTGAATAACATAAGAAATCAATACAACAAACATGTAGTCAAAACAATGTTACCCATTACTCTTTTTACAGGAAGTACTCTTTACTTTTTGAATGTTTCAGAAATACGTATTCAATGTAAGTCACCATAACTGATCTTCCTTTACCAACGCATTGCAGGAATAGTCTTTAAATAATAGCTATGGGACTGGTAGGACCATGAACCATTTGCAAACAGTGCATGCAAAGGTAAGTACAGACATGGAGAGTAAGCCTTGGGAAACGGCAACATGGTTATTTTGTGCAAAAGCATCCATCATCTATACATTGGGGGGGAAACAGGCATTTATCAACATTGTTTGAGAGGCACTGCTTTAAGTGAACCAGTTAATTATAATAACTATATATTCAGAGGGATAACAACATTTTCCACATTTCCTGGCAGCCATGTTTCATGAGAATCTCTTTAAAGGAGACATCAAAGGGTTTTTCAAAAATTTAACCTAGTCCCTTAAATTTCAGACTTTTCACCACTTTTTCATTGGCTCCATCCTTTTCCTTGCAAGAATCGTGCTGGTTGGTATCAGTAAGTTTCTTGCCAATTCTCTCCTTTCCACTTGTTATTCTCTGTGACAGCCCGGCTTCTGGCTGCTGAAGTACGTACTCCTTTGTTTCCACTTCGGCCTTTCTTGGAAACAAGTCATCTTTCTGGTGCCCTCAGGCTGCTGACACGCTGCGTGCAGGTGGGTTCAGAGTCCTACCTGGGAAGACCTCATGAAGAGCTCCTGGATGTCCAGCTCGTCCAGCAGGAGGGTCCTCCCGACGCGGTGCACGGCCATGCTCACGTGGGACTTGCTGTAGGGGATCTTCAGGAGCTTTTTTATGTTCTTAAGAAAATGAAGAGGAAAGAGTTTAGAAAGACCTTCTTCAGTGTGATTCCATTTTTAACTTCATTCCATTTTAAAGCATAATAAACCTTATTTCCCTAAGGTTATACAAACTGTACTTTCCACAGAAAGCTAAATGCAAACACACGAAAGACAGCTCTTCCAAACCTCAATCACCTGCACTTTACAAGCCATCCTGTTAACCTAGCTGACGGTCACACTTGCATGACCTAGGCTTTCAGCGTATCAGATAAAAATGACCAACTAAGGAGCGATCGATTTCGCCAGAAGCATCATATCTCATTCTCAATTGGTAACATACAAAATCATCCCAAACACTCTAATCACTTGTAACTGCTATTTTTAAAAAACATAACCATCAACATTGGTATTGTTACCACTGCCAGTGTTTTGGGGGTTATTCCTTCCTCTCTGAAGAAAGGATACGTGTTTGTTTATTAACAAAAAAGGCATTTGATAATCAGACAGTGGTCTCATTTCATCAGGTTTTCAAGGTCCTGCACAGAGCGGGTGTAAGTGCCCAGCACCGATGGCCTCCCCATCAGGACACTTACCTCAGAGTCAGAGACAACGTCCACATCGTTGCCCACGGAGTCAATAAAGTCGTACGCCATCCCAAAGCTAACGGAGGGAACGAAGGACACAAAGGTCACGCTCATAGTGATGCAGGTAGAGTTTATCACAGATAATGTCAACTTCAAGGACACACAGTTCCCACATTCTGTCATCTCTGAAATCAGCATGCCTCTCACCATTACAGCTGGCTAGTTTTTCCTTCTTAGTGGCATATAAAATAATGGTGTTACTTAAAATCAGTGGCATCTTAAATTTGATAAAATATAGTAATAATCATTAGGAGCAATTAATAGGAAACACCTAGAATAAAAACAATGAACAATTCTTTTCATTTTTGTAATCACAAAACCCAAAAAATCTCCAAGAGAAAATATTTCAAGATGTTATTCTTTTTAGGCGGAAAGGTAAGAAAAATAGAAACAAACATTTATCAGGATTTGAGTCTGGGACTGTGTTCCTACCGATATACAATATTACTCTTTTAAAGTACATATGGGAAAAACAAATACACCCGGCTCCAATTCGGCCAGGAGAAAAGAAAAACAATGTCGTGCCAGATACCACATGAGGCACATCCATAACCCACACGCCTGAAAAGCGTGCATGTCCGCATTTCCCAGTCAGGAGCCGGGATACTTCCCCGGGCCCCTCACGTCAGAGTGCGCTCTGATGGTTTACTGTGTGGGCTGGGCAAGCTACTTAGCCTTCCTGAGCTGCAGTGTGTCCGTGCGAAAATTAGTTAATGGTACCTAACTCAGAGGTTGTTGTGAGAATTAAAAGGCATCAACGTATAAAGTACTTAACACAGTGTGTGCAGTCAATATAATTACCATGTAAATCACCTTATAACATTTTTGTTGTTGTTGTTAATCCACACCGAGGACACCTTTTCCATTGATTTTTACAGAGTGGGAGAGACAGAGAAAAACATTGATATGAGAGAGACATCGACTGGTTGCCTCCCGCATGCACCCCAACTGAATCAAGCCTGCAATTGAGGTACCTGCCCGTGACCGGAATCGAACCTGAGATCCTTCAGTCAGAGGGCAGATGCTCTAACCACTAAGCGGCCCGGCTAGGGCTCACTTTCTAACATTTGTGTTCACATATCATAATTTACTAAGCATTCTTCTAAAAGAAGATACACGGACTATTTCCAACTTTTGCTAGTAGAAATATTGCTACAAACAAACACCATTTTGTAAATAGAACTTTTACCTCGAGTGGCATTAGGATAATTTCCAACCTACTGGCTCATAGGTATTAATGTATGTATGGCTCTTGCCACATGTCGTATGGAAATACTTTGGGTTCAGTCACTGAGAGGAAGAAGGACCCCACACATTCAATGGTCTACAAGAACATGGACGCTCATACATCATCCTCAGTAAGACCCAGGCTACTCTCTCAAGTGCCACCAGCAGCATTTCCAGCAAGTGTCACAGTCAAGGGGTCAAGCCACCCAACCAACATGCTGGCTTTCCGCATCAGGCCTTTTCAGACCCGACAACCCCGCCATTGAACACGTTAAGCGCCCAGTCAGTCGCCGGTGACTGACACTATACTTTCCGCCCGGAAGACAAACAGGCTGGGCGCTTAACGTGTTAATGAAAACCCCACAGGACGGACCAGGCCGCCTTAAGGGTTTTCTTCTCCGGGTGCCACCCTAACGCTCCGTGTTCACATATGCTGAAGGCATGAACGTTGGCTAAAAACAAAACATCTGATGGAAGTGTGGGGGTCAGAATTCAGCTGTGTTCAGACGTGGCGCAGACCTGAGAGAAGCATGTGCCGTCAGCACCTTCCGATGACAACATAACCCTATCAGCAGGGGGAAGACGGGGCTCCGAAAGTCAAATAGGACCTTCCCCCCCCCCCACCCCCCCAAAGAGACCGCACGCAGTGGACGAGCTGACGATTAAGCGGAAGAGCAGGTGTCAGCGTTCCGCGGCGGAGCAGGGGTTGGCGGCCCCGGGGAAGACGCCACCGATGGGCACTCACCTGGAAAACGGCTTGCTCTTCTTACTGGTGCCCAGGATGGTGGTGCCCGCGGGCCCCAGCTTGGCGCTCTCCCGTAGCCAGTTGGCAGGGGGCAGTTTCAGGTCTGTCTTCTCCTCCAGGCGCGCGAAGGCTGCCCGAGGGGGGGCGGAGGAGTACTTCACCACGGCCCGGCTCTTCACCTCGCTGCCCCCCAGGAACAGCGTGGAGCCCTGGGGGACACAGGGACCCGCTTCGGTGAGCACTCCCAGGAAGGAGAAACCCCCCGTTTTACAGGAGGAAAGAGCCCATCAGGATGTACGACAGCGCAGAATACGCTGTCGCATTTAGCCAGCTTTTCCTTTTTCTTGTTTTTACATAACCTCAAAGAAAAACCCGAGTGGAGGAGTAGGAGGGTGACGGCTGTCAGCTGGGGAACAGGCCAACCAACCTACCTTCTAAGCGTTATTCTTAGAAACGGGGGAGGCAGGAGCCAAGGGGCGCGATACTATCCCGCTAACTGAATACATCTGTTAAAACCTCTGTTCAGCGTTAAAGAGGCGTTTACATTTCGGTAACACGCGCCAGGTAGGAAGTAGTTTGTGGTGAGACTTGCGAGGCTTCGTTGTTTTTCAAGCAAACGTTTAGTAATGGACCAACGGCACCTGCGAGGCCGGCCCGGGGCCCCGGGGGCCCGACAGACACCTGCCTTTCCCTCCCTTTGCAGGACTGGGTCGCATTCTGGAACCACATACAGGGCGTCCCCCCGCCCGCCCCCCAAATATACACACGCTTTCACAGCTGAGAGCTCAATTTGAAAATGGCATGTATGCTGACCAACGGCGCCTTTGTAATTATTCAGTGTGCGCACACTTTGGGGTTCACCCTGTATTTACATGCGCGCCCTGAGAGCAGTGTCTGCCTCCCCCACCACGCCACCGCGGGGGAAGCGGCTGCCTCTGATGCGATGACTGGC